CACTTCCAAAACTCAAACAGGAGGAAATAGAAAGCTTGAACAGACCCATAACCAGCGAAGAAATTGAATCAGTTATCAAAAATCTCCCAACAGGGGCGCCTGGGTGGCGCAGTCGGTTAACCGTCCGACTTCAGCCAGGTCACGATCTCGCGGTCCGTGAGTTCGAGCCCCGCGTCAGGCTCTGGGCTGATGGCTCAGAGCCTGGAGCCTGTTTCCGATTCTGTGTCTCCCTCTCTCTCTGCCCCTCCCCCGTTCATGCTCTGTCTCTCTCTGTCCCAAAAATAAATAAACGTTGAAAAAAAAAATTAAAAAAAAAAAAAATCTCCCAACAAATAAGAGTCCAGAACCAGATGGCTTCCCAGGGGAATTCTACCAGACATTTAAAGCAGAGATAATACCTATCCTTCTCAAGCTATTCCAAAAAACAGAAAAGGAAGCAAAACTTCCAGAATCATTCTATGAATCCAGTATTACTTTGATTCCTAAACCAGACAGAGATACAGTAAAAAAAGAGAACTACAGGCCAATATCCCTGATGAATATGGATACAAAAATTCTCAATAAGATACTAGCAAATCAAATTCAACAGCTTATAAAAAGAATTATTCACCATGATCAAGTGGGATTCATTCCTGGGATGCAGGGCTGGTTCAACATTCACAAATCAACCAACGTGATACATCACATTAATAAAAGAAAAGATAAGAACCATATGATCCTGTCAATCGATGCAGAAAAAGCATTTGACAAAATTCAGCATCCTTTCTTAATAAAAACGCTCGAGAAAGTCGGGATAGAAGGAACATACTTCAACATCATGAAAGCCATTTATGAAAAGCCCACAGCTAATATCATCCTCAATGGGGAAAAACTGAGAGCTTTCCCCCTGAGATCAGGAACACGACAGGGATGTCCACTCTCACCGCTGTTGTTTAACATAGTGTTGGAAGTGCTAGCATCAGCAATCAGACAACAAAAGGAAATCAAAGGCATCAAAATTGGCAAAGATGAAGTCAAGCTTTCACTTTTTGCAGATGACATGATAATATACATGGAGAACCCGATAGACTCCACCAAAAGTCTGCTAGAACTGATACATGAATTCAGCAAAGTCGCAGGATAGAAAATCAATGTACAGAAATCAGTTGCATTCTTATACACTAATAATGAAGCAACAGAAAGACAAATAAAGAAACTGATCCCATTCACAATTGCACCAAGAAGCATAAAATACCTAGGAATAAATCTAACCAAAGATGTAAAAGATCTGTATGCTGAAAACTATAGAAAGCTTATGAAGGAAATTGAAGAAGATATAAAGAAATGGAAAAACATTCCGTGCTCATGGATTGGAAGAATAAATATTGTCAAAATGTCAATACTACCCAAAGCTATCTACACATTCAAGCAATCCCAATCAAAATTGCACCAGCATTCTTCTTGAAGCTAGAACGAGCAATCCTAAAATTCATATGGAACCACAAAAGGCCCCGAATAGCCAAAGTAATTTTGAAGAAGAAGACCAAAGCAGGAGGCATCACAATCCCAGACTTTAGCCTCTACTGCAAAGTTGTAATCTTCAAGACAGCATGGTATTGGCACAAAAACAGACACATAGACCAATGGAATAGAATAGAAACCCCAGAACTAGACCCACAAAAGTATGGCCAACTCATCTTTGACAAAGCAGGAAAGAACATCCAATGGAAAAAAGACAGTCTCTTTAACAAATGGTGCTGGGAGAACTGGACAGCAACATGCAGAAGAATGAAACTAGACCACTTTCTTACACCATTCACAAAAATAAACTCAAAATGGATAAAGGACCTGAATATGAGACAGGAAACCATCCAAACCCTAGAGGAGAAAGCAGGAAAAGACCTCTCTGACCTCAGCCGCAGCAATTTCTTACTTGACACATCCCCCAAAGGCAAGGGAATTAAAAGCAAAAATGAACTATTGGGACCTCATGAAGATAAAAAGCTTTTGCACAGCAAAGGAAACAATCAACAAGACTAAAAGGCAACCAATGGAATGGGAAAAGATATTTGCAAATGACATATCGGACAAAGGGCTAGTATCCAAAATCTATAAAGAGCTCACCAAACTCCATACCCAAAAAACAAATAATCCAGTGAAGAAATGGGCAGAAAACATGAATAGACACTTCTCTAAAGAAGACATCCAGATGGCCAACAGGCACATGAAAAGATGCTCAACATCGCTCCTCATCAGGGAAATACAAATCAAAACCACACTCAAATATCACCTCATGCCAGTCAGAGTGGCCAAAATGAACAAATCAGGAGACTATAGAGGATGGAGAGGATGTGGAGAAACGGGAACCCTCTTGCACTGTTGGTGGGAATGCAAATTGGTGCAGCCACTCTGGAAAACAGTGTGGAGGTTCCTCAAAAAATTAAAAATAGACCTACCCTATGACCCAGCAATAGCACTGCTAGGACTTTACCCAAGGGGTACAGGAGTACTGATGTATAGGGGCACTTGTACCCCAATGTTTATAGCAGCACTCTCAACAATAGCCAAATTATGGAAAGAGCCTAAATGTCCATCCACTGATGAATGGATAAAGAAATTGTGGTTTATATACACAATGGAGTACTACGTAACAATGAGAAAGAATGAAATATGGCCCTTTGTAGCAATGTGGATGGAACTGGAGAGTGTGATGCTAAGTGAAATAAGCCATACAGAGAAAGACAGATACCATATGTTTTCACTCTTATGTGGATCCTGGGAAACTTAACAGAAACCCATGGGGGAGGGGAAGGAAAAAAAAATGAGGTTAGAGTGGGAGAGAGCCAAAGCATAAGAGACTCTTAAAAACTGAGAATAAACTGAGGGGTGAATGGGGGGTGGGAGGGAGGGAAGGGTAGGTGATGGGCATTGAGAGGGCATCTTTTGGGACGAGCACTGGGTGTTGTATGGAAACCAATTTGACAATAAATTTCATATATTAAAAAAAAATTTATGATTTAGAAAGTTTTAAAAATAAATAAATAAATAAATAAATAATATTTTTATATCCACATTACTTGCTTATTATTTTTTCCTGGATTTAAAATTCTTTTTTCATGTTTATTTATTTATTTTGAGAGAGAACGAGAGAAGCAGAGCACAAGCAGAGGAGGGGCAGAGAGAGAGGGAGAGAGAGAAAATCCCAAGCAGGCTCCGAGCTGCCAGCACACAGCCTGGCTCAGGGCTCAAACTCACAAACCGTGATATCATGACCTGAGCTGAAGTCAAGAGCCAGGTGCTTAACTGATTGAACCACCCAGGCGCCCCTCTTCTGGCCATTTTTTATTTGCATGTAAAATAATACGCAGATTCGTTTCATAACTTGCTAACATACCTACCAGTTTAAAAATTGGAAGACTAGAGACTAGTAAAAATGGTAGTAATTCTGTAACTCTGACTAAAGTTTTTGGGTGGGAGATATATAATGACACTAAATGAAGACAAGGGAATCTTCCTACAATCTCCACCCACTGTTCCTATAAACCATTAGCAGAACTGAACAATGTCTCCTGAACTTGAATAGGTAATTAACTTACTTTAATATAAACAAACAAAAAATATTATGTATGTATGTTAACATCAAGTGAGATATTTAGGACATCCTCACCAGGAAGATTTGAAGTCTGTGGGAGAATAAGCCATAGCTGGACATTCAGTGAAAAACGAGTAATTGCTAATAACAATAACAACAAAAAACAACCAATGAAACCAAACTTCTCACCTCCTTTCAAAGAAGTGTCAGTATTTTGTCCTTTATGTCACATATGCAAAAGTAGGCTTTGAAGGGTAGTTATTCCCTGACAACTTTAGGTCAAGCCCCTCTGAACAGATGCTTAGGAAACAGGCTGTAATCAAGCTAAAAGCAATCATCTAAGCAGAGAGCTAAAAATAATTCAAAATGCCTTTTTTAGGGGTGCCTGGGGGGCTCAGTCGGTTAGGCCTCCGACTCTTGATCTCAGCTCAGGTCTTAATCTCATGGTCGTGAGTTCAAGCAGGGGTGAGGGAGTGCCTTGGTGGCTAAGTCTTAAGTGTCTATTTCTGCTTGGATCATGATCTCGGAGTTGTGAGATTGAGCCTCGCGTCTCCATGCTGGGTGTGGAGCCTGCTTGCTTTCTCTCTCTCTCTCTCTCTCTCTCTCTCTCTCTCTCTCTCTCCTTGTGTTCCCTCTTTTAAAAACAAATGCCTTTTGGGGCACGTGGGTGGCTCAGTCAGTTAAGCGTCCGACTTCAGCTCAGGTCATGATCTTGTGGTTCATGAGTTTGAGCCCCATGTCAGGCTCTGTGCTGACAGCTCAGAGCCTGAAGCCTGCTTGGGATTCTGTGTCTCCCTCTCTCTCTGCCCCTGCCCCACTCATGCTCTGTCTCTCTCAATCTCAAAAACAAACATTAAAAAATTAAAAACAAGAAACAAATGCCTTTTTAGTTATACCAGGAAAATATGTATTCATTATTTTGTTTCAGGCTTTACTTTGTTCTGAAATTCACTTTGTTCTGTCCTACCTGTTTTCTCTTTCTAGAAAGGGAGCGAGAGGAAACATTAGGGGAAGAGTCATCCTGTGGAGGACCAGTGGGGATGAAGGACAGTTTAAGATCCCTGGTTGCTTGCTCCAGTTGCAGTGCCCTAAACGGAGGGGGGAGGGGTGCAGGAAGCAGGGGGGTGGGGTGGGGGAACTGTGCTCTGCAATCTTTCCCCACTTACTCCAAGTAGCCAGGAAGTGGGCCCAGGCCTCCGTGTCAGAGTCTGCTTGGGGCATGCTTTTGAGCCTCCAGGACCAGCTCTCCCACTCTTGCAAAAGGAAATGAAAAGTAATAGACCCTTCCTAACCATTCCCAGATATCTTACTGAGGAACCCAATATGCTGTATAAGATAATTATTTTTCAAATATTATTTAGAGTCTTTCTAAATAGAAAAGAATGGAAATAATTAGGTTAGCAGATATCATGCTTGGATTGACAGTTACCTGTTTGAGCCACACATTTGTTGTCATCAGTTGATTCTTTTCATCCTAAGAAAATGGCAATTAGAAAAATGTAAATTCAAATTAAGTGAAGTCTTTGAGATTTATTTTGTCAGAAAGACCACCCTTTGCTTAAAATAAAAAATAATAATTAAAGCAAATAGCAGCTCATTATGGTGATATTTATCCAAAACCGCATAACCCAGGGGTGCCTGTGTGTCTTAGTTGGTTGAGTGTCTGACTCTTGATTTCAGCTCAGGTCATGATCCCAGCGTCGTGGGACCAAGTCCTGCATCAGGCTCTGTGCTGTGTGTGGAGTCTGCTTGGGATTCTCTCTTTTTCTCCCTCTGCCCCTCTTCCTGACTTGCTCTCTCTCTCTTTCTCTCTCTCAAATAAAAAAAAATTTTTTTAATTGCATAACCCAGAAAGTATGGTAAGGCCGCAAAGTAAGAATGAATATTAGTTAAATCAGAGATCGGTTTTGCATGATTTTCTAGAAGGAATCCTTGGGCATTGAGTCAGCTGAGGTAGGTGAGTGTGCAACTGGTAGGGCAGGGGATTTAGGAAACAGGAGACGATTATTCTGGGACTTCGGGGACCGTACCAGAATGACTTTGCAGAACTGGCTTAACGTTCACTGGTTTCCCAGGAACGCAATCATGTCAGAAGTGGGAGCCCAACAGGAAAATGAGCAGAGAATGTTAAGGTCTGGGTGGTGTCAGGGGAACAGGTGGAATCCTGAGGGGATTCAGGAGGGTGATGAGTCACTAGGCGCTCACGGGGGTGCTGGCAGCATCTGCCCTCTCTCCCTGTAGACACCCCTGCCAGCCCTCACGCAGTTCGGGTGACACCGAATCAGCCCAGGGGACACCAATGAGCCCTCGGCTCAGTTCTCTCTTCTCTCCATCTCCTCTGTTCTCCCTGGGTACTCATCCTGGTTCTCAGCAAACCCGCCAGAGACAATGTCTGTCTTAACAACCATATCCATCCCCCAGCAAAGAGGTGCACACTCATAGTGCCGCAATGAAAATTTACTCCCCAGCACTTCTCATTCCTTCCTCGGGTCATTTCACTGGCCTCTTGGGGCAGATTTTCTCTCACAGTAAGTTATTTTTAAAATTGAAATGGTAGACATGGGGAAAGAAAACAAAATAAAGTCTTAGATTCACAAACAGGTTAAGGAATGCATGTTCTTTTTAGCTTAGTGCCAAGGATTACTCACCACATCCACGAGCTGAGATATTTTCAATCCAAAATATACTTTTATGGTGTCATTAGAATTTAATACAGGACGAACCCATTTCTGATAACCTTGGAATAAGCGTCTGAGGAGGGCGTCTTCATTTTCAACAATTGAACTGAATCCTGCAGCAGCTGTAAGATCATGAGCGAAACCTGAATTAATGGGAAAAGTATAATGGCTGGTTTAGCATCCTGTGGCCTGAACCTTCAGGTGTTCAGCAAAGGCAGCTTTGCATATACAGGGGTTCCCTAACCATTCCCCATGCCCACAACACATGGCTGAAAGTAGATTCTATGCTTTACCCAGAGCTTTGCTCTCTCATGGGATTTTCCCACCATGAGGTCAGCACCTTGATCCCCAAACAATCACCCACAGCCACCCCCTTACCCTTGACCTCACATCTCACCTGAGATGCCACCTCCTTACAGACATGGTCTCTGCCCCTGTGCTATAGTCCACTACTGCACCCTATCCGGCTCCATCATGTCCTTACCACAATGTGTTGTATACCTCTCATCATCTGTCCTTCCCTTGAGCTCCATGATGGCAGACATGGTATCCATTTTATTTGATGATGTTTATCCAGCACCTAGACTAGTGCCAGCCCACAGCACATGCTTATTTTATATCTATTTAATGAATAATCCAATGACAGGAATATGTCAGGGCCATTTTTCATGCATTTGGCACGTATCCATTGAGCACACATATCCACTGAGCACCTACCACATCCCTTGTGCTGCTCTTTTTCCTTCCTCCTGAGGAAGTCTTCCCTTACAAAGACTCCCTGGTCAAGAACCAGGTTCTAACACTCCTCTCCGCCCCTACATGTCTGAGAGCCCAAGAAACACCCCAACTTCAAGCTTTGACCCTCAGGCTGAAGAAATGGTCTAGGAAGGCAGTCTAGAGATACGTTTTGTTTCTTTTCAGTATTATGCTATCAAACATAAAACATGGCAGCTTTATTGTTGCTTTTTTTTTTTTTAAGTTTACTTATTTACTTTGAGAGAGAATGAGCATGGGAGAAGCAGAGAGCGAGGGAGAGAGAGAATCCCAAGCAGGCGCCATGCTCAGGGCAGAGCCCCACAGGGGGCTCAAACTCATGAACCATGAGATCAAAAGTTGGATGCTTAATGGACTGTGCCACCCAGGTGCTGTTATTATTGCTGTTTTAGATATAGCCCCTTTCTTCATATATCCAGTGCCCTATTAATCTCCTACAACAACTCATTCTGCACTGTATGGCTTACCGTAGGAAACCTTTTCTTCTGCTGAGTGACACATGATGGGCAATGATCATGTACCAGACACCCCGAAGTTTACCCAGTAAAACCCAAAGATTCTTAGCAGGAAGAAGAGCAAACATTCCTAGTATGTACATGAGAACTTCACTTTACTAAGGGAGTAGCAATTCAAAATGCACCCTTTTTTTTTTAAAAATTGAACCATAAATAGCCTACAGTAGTATATTAATTTCAGGTATACAACATAATGATTCAACAATTATGTACAATACTCAGTGCTCATCATAGTAAGTGCAATTACGATTTGTCACCAAACAATGTTATTACTGTCTTATTGACCATATTCCCTATGCTGTACTTTTCATCTCTGTGACTTATTTATTTTTTATTTATTATTGTAACTGGAAGTTTGAAACCCACTCGTAATGCTCCTAGGGGTAAACAGAGGTGTCAATAAGATGGGTTACATACTCGGGCTGCTCCCACCCCTTTCTCTTATGTTCCAAAAATATATGAAAATGCAAATGAGTGATGGCGAGAGCTTATGTTTGTGCTTAGTTATCTGAAAAGCTAACTGTTCTCAGGGAGCCTGGGCGGCTCAGTCGGTTAAGCATTGGACTCTTGATTTCGGCTCAGGTCGTGCTCTCACGTGATCTTTGTGCACAGCACAAAGCCTCTTCGGGATTCTCTCTCTCCCTCTCTCTCTGCCCCTTCCCCCCTTCCCTCCCCCTCGCTCTCTCAAAATAAATAAATAAACTGGAAAAAAAAAAGCTAACTGTTCTCAAACTTTGATACTTCAGTTCTTAACAAGCAGAGCAGCACGAAGGAGCAGGTCAGCTGGGTGGCTGCCAGGACAGCACTCTGCAAAACGTTACTGGAAGTGGAGAGAAGGTAGGAGTTGAAATTCCCCGAAGCCTCCTGAGGGATGGAGTGTTCACCTGCTCGGGCTAAACTTCACGAATTCCCTACCCCACATCTGGTCTTAACTTCCTTCAAAATACATCATAACTCTGATTCTTTCCCACCATCTCCACTGGTACCACCTGAGTCACAAGTTCCATCATCTCTCTTGGATTCTTGTGCTCCTTCTTCCTGCCTTCCACTCTTGCCCCTTTTACAGTTCATTTCCTGCTCAGCAGATGGAACCAGCTCTTAAAGGCAGAAGAGGTTTATATAAGTTCCTGCCCAAATCCTACAAATGGCTTCCCATCAAACGCAGGCAGACATCTCACATCCTTGCCATGGTTTCCCAGGCTCTTGTATGGCCCCTACCCTCTCCCACTCTGCCCTCACCCCTCCTCCCCAGAGCTTCAGGTCCATCTGCTCTTTCTAGAACATGCCTGTAGGCTTCTGTTTGGGGAAGACTCTTGCCCTGAAGAGGAATCCATGCTCATTCCTTCATTTTGTCCCATCTTTGCTCAAATGTCATCTCCTTGAAAGGTCCTTCTGGGTTACACAATCTAAAATCCCTCCTCACACTTTATCCCCTTAATGATGCTTTATCTTGCATGGGAGCACTGGAACATATTGTATGTTTCTTTGTCTATTGTCTGTCTGCCCCATTGGAAAATGCCAGCTTCATGAAACCTTTCTTACTTCTGTCTCCCAGCTCCATGGGGCCTGGCACATCATGGCTGCTGAGCACACCCTTGTGCAGCAACATAGTGAGCTACTTTGCTGAGTGGTGTTTGGAGAATTTGGGCCAGAGCTGAATTTATCTGGAGGGGAGAGAAGCAGGGAGGTCACAGCTGTCCTCCCTCGGCCTCGCCTGGCAGGAGAATATTGTTGCGTGGGCACCATGACAGTGACTGCTGGTTCCCTGCTCAACAGCCACTTACCCTTTCTTTTTCAGTAACGGATGCTATGTTTATTCAGAATTGAATGGTGCCAGCTTAAAATGTTCCCTTCTCAGGCCCCTTACAGCTAGGGATGGCCATACGACATATACATGCCACTTAAATCCAAACAGAAGCCACAGGGTGAGGTTTGTAGGAAATACTGTTGAAGAGGATGGACTTGGTCCAATACGCACATTTCACCTTTCATCTTTCACCCTTTGCTCCCTTTTCTTCCTGCCTAGAGGTAGAACATGGCATCTAGGGATCTGGCCACCCAGGTATCTCACAAGCCTGATGAAAGCTACACACATAAGATGGCAGAATAGAAGGGCAGACAGAGCGCGGGACCCTGATAGCACTATAGGACCATCAACCAGCCCAGGACCGCTCTCCTCCAAATTTCTTGGTGTGTGAGAAAAACAATCTTCCCTTTTGGATAGGCTCTTATGGCCATTGTTACACGAATCTGAGTGTAGTCCTAGTGGCCAAGAACCCAACGGCACTGCCCTTCCCCAAAAGCCCTTGTGTCCCAGTTCAGCCCAGTGAGAACAATTTACTTAAGACACCACCTCACAATGGATGGAGACACTCCAGGAAGGGTGAGAACAACTGAATAACGTCTGAACCAACACACACACACACACACACACACACACACACACACACACGGACTTCTTAGCTTGGACAACTCTAAGCCATTATAATTCTGAGAACAGAAATTGTACTTTTGAACTCCCTTTCCTGGAAGGAAAATCTTACTGTCAGTTTGCAGGGAGGTAGACTTACACATTATGACCTTGACAATCCCCAGCTCTTGCCACCCTCAAAGCTGTACCCTCTGTGAGAATGATTAGATCCTGCTCTTTGTCGGGATCTAAAGGGAAATAAGCAGATTTTCTTTCAGGGACCTTCGTATGTTTTGACCCATGTTGCCAATGTCAGAGGGTGAGCTGTTGTCTGAATCAAGGCACAAAAAGCATAAATCTGTACTGGCCGTTATGGACTAAATACTTGTATGCCTTCAAATTCCTGTGTTGAAGTCCTAACCCCCAATGTGACTATATTTGGAGACAGAGCCTAGAAGGAGGTATCTAAGGCTAAATGAAGTCATCAGTGTGGGGCCCTAAATCAATAGGACTGGTGTCCTTATAAGAAGCGGAAGAGACATGAGAGCGCTCTCTCTCCCCATGCAAGCACGAGGAAAAGCCAGGTAAAGACGCTGCCAGAAGACAGCTATTTACAAGCCAGGAAGAGAATTCTCACAGAGACCATTTTTGCTGACACCTTGATCATGGACTTCTAGGCTCCAGAACCGTGAGAAAATAAATTGCTGTTCAGCCACACAGTCTGTGGTGTTTTGTTATGGCAGACTGAGCTGACTAGACCCAAACAGATCTTACCAAAAAAAAAAAAAAAAAAAAAAGCCAAAGTTTTAATGCTTTCTGCCTAAATCTTCAACCTTCCTGAACTTCCCCAAATAAAAGTTGAGGTCATTGATGTTACTGAAGCAGACGTAGACGATAGCTCTGGAAATTTTCTAGTTTGTCCTTGCAAAACAGAACATTATAACAAAAGGAAATTGTTTCCACTGTTGATTCTTTGAGACTAGCGACTCAAGAAATACTTTGTGATATTTGGGGAAAGAACAAATGAAGGAGTTAACGCACAAAAGCTCCAATGGCACTTTCTGTGCACAGAGGGAGGAGGAGGCAGAGTGACCCCAGCTCACTGATCTAGAGGATGTAGAATCGCAGATGTTCTCAGGATTTCTAGGACAAGGGGTATCTGTTTTAAGGAATATCTGGATCCCTGAAAATCTGTGTGTAAACCAGTTTTGTAAATGGACTTGTATTTTAAATAAATTAGACAAGATCAATATTCTAAGATACATCTCGGCAATGCACTGACAAAGTCAACAAACTGCTCTTGGAAGCTGAGTGACTCCCTGAGTGGGTGCTTGCATTTCCCAAAGCCCGCTTTATGAAGGAGGGATGGGAGAACATTTGTATTCATAAATAATACCAGCACTAAATAAGAAGGACAAGTGAAATGATGACGAAGTGAAGACAATGGAGCTAGAAAGGACTTTGAAGATGTTCTAAGTCCCTCATTCTACAGATGAAGATCCTGGGGTGCCAAGAGGGGCAGTGACTTACTCAGGGTCAACCTAGTTAATGAGTGGCAGATGTGTTCATGTCTTTGAACATAAATTTGTTGTTATTGCTTTTTTTTGTTACTGTGTTGTTGTTAGCATTGTATTTACCAAAATACTTTACTTTAAAGCGATCTATTGCCAGGAAGAATGATATTCTAAAACCAGGTCGCAGATAATATTTGTTTGATGGTGTAGACAGACACTCAATGTTGGTGATGGTATTCCATAATCCAACTCAATCTCCCTCTACTGCAGTTGGGACCTGGCAGCTGGCTTGGCCCTGGTGTCCCTTGAATGGGCACTGAGGTCACTCTCCTTAGAGATGGACACCCAATGCTTTATAGTGGGAGCAATCCTCCTTCAGACTTGACCATGGTCCCCTCCCTTTCTTTGCATTAAGTCTTGCTTTGCACTCCTTACACACACACCCCGACAGACTCAGACTCAAACACACACACTTAGTCTAATGCACATCTTCAGAGGATGTGTGCTGCCTGTTACAGCTTGTCACCATTTCTTTTGGTAAAAAGGAATTTCATTGCTCCCTTAAATCCCGATTCTCCCCCTTTATTTTTCTCCTCTCCCTATTTAATCTTTGTCTCATTTTCTTTGTCAAAATATTTCTCTTGGGACGATGTAAGCAACTCTGCAGGTGGAAGGCAAGAAGAGGGAGAGCACATGCAAGTGATCAGACAGGTGGGGAGCTCTCTGCCTGATTCCAGTAATTTCCTCCATGTGGATCTCAGGCTGGGAAAGTGCTCTAGGAGGGCACTCTGCTCTTGGCTCTGGACATGGAGTCTCTTGCCAAACTCGTCACTCGTTAGAACAAGAATCCAACAAATATTTATTTAACATTGAGAGCCACTGGACTCAGATTTAGATATGAGTTTTGGTCTTGTTTCCAAACCTTGGCAATCTTCATTAAGCAAGGCATTTAAATTCTCCCAATAACAATAAAATGGTGGATGATTGGTAAGCCCCTACCAACTCACACATGCTTTATGTCCATGAAACACCCATAAAATATGACCTATTAATGCCCAATATTTACTATTCTGAAGACACAAAAAAGAGCCAATGTTTAAGATGTGCCATTGATTGGAGGACATCGCTCCTGGCTGCCATTTACTGCAACAGAAGAGGCATCTGGGTAAAGATAACTGAAGCTATGAAGGGATTAGACAGGACTCACTACCCATGAGGAGGTTAGGGCTCTCTCAACCCCTATAAGTGGAATCATGAGAGATTTGGATGAGGTACCCAGTTCCAACTTGAGGCAAAGAAATTTTCTTTGAAACTTATAACTTGACGTTCTGGCCTCTTTATTCTTCTTGACCACGTTTCTTTTCCCTTCTTCAGGCTCTCAGACTTTCTGGTCTCTCCTCACCCAATTATCAAAGCCCACGTTCTGGGACATCTGGGTGGCTCAGTCAGTTGAGTGTCCAACTCTTGATTTCAGCTCAGGTCATGATCTCATGGTTCATGAGATCAAGCCCTGCATCGGGCTGTCTGCTGTCAGTGCTGAGCCCACTTTGGATCCTCTGTTTCCTTCGCTCTCTGCCCCTGCCTCACTCATGCTTTCTCTCTCTCTCTCTCAAAAATCAACATAAAAAAAAAAAAAACCACTTTCTGCAAAGTTTTGACAAGTTCATGCACGCTGAGGTATAAATAACTGATAAGACTTAATCAGTGAAAATTCACATGCTTATTTATGGTTTTATTGAAGACAACATCATTGTTTATCCTTAGCTAAGAGAGTAAAAAAGTTATTAAGACTTTTAAACCTTAGCAAATATGGTTGGGAGAGACACAGTTTTTTTGTTTTGACGCTTTTTGGTATATTTTGGTTTTGTCCTTCTATTGTCACCAGCCTGTCCAAAAAAATCATACCACAAATAGGCTGGTTTCTGCTGTCAACACATAGAGCTCACCCTCAGGGTGAAATCAAATAATAAATATTGAATGGATTCTTGCTAGCGTGAGAATTTATTAGAATGATTTTGTTTTTTCCCCCTCTCTCATATCCCATGCTGGAATCATTCCTAGGATACAGGACACCCTCAGTAAATATTCATTGAATGAATAAACACATGTCACCATGTGGTAAGAATGATGGGAAGATGAGTAAGAGACAGTCCCCTGTTTCTGGGAGCAGACACAAACCCACAAAGCATGAATTCGCAACAGAAGAGATGTCACATGCCCATACACAATTATTCTTTCCACCAAAGCCAGAAATATAAAAATGAGGGGTTGCCCCTTGTGATTTGGAAAAGGTAGTTTTGTGTAACAAAAAGAAGCCATTTCCTTTGCAATGAAAAGTAAAGTTACAAAACTTAAGGAAAGGTGCTACTGATCTGAAAATAGAAATAGATGCCAATGGATCTTGAAATATCCACAAATGTGAGAGTTACTACAAGTTATTACATAGATTGATTATAGATCTGTGACAGACATCTACAGCACAGTATAAATTCCCAAACTCTTGCAGCCTATGCAATGGAGAATGAGTACCAGTCTCCCCTCTAATTCCAATTTTCTTATGTAACCATCATTGTGTGAGGAAGAAGATCATAGGTGAACTAAGAGGGTTTATGCCAACTCCCCCCACTTACCAGTGAGCGACTTCCCTAGGGAAAGAATGGTAAGAACCCATTCTTTCACAGTAAATAGGATAGTGCATTAAAGCAGAAAAAACATCAGACACATGTGTATTAATTGTATGCTAAAACACACAGAAGTTGATGATTATTTTTACGACTGACCAACTGCATTTCAGACTTTGCAGGAACCAAACTTAGTGATATTTGAAAGTGGGTGTGATGCCCTCTGCACTTAAAAACTACTGGTTTTGAGTCCCCAGTATGAGGAAAGGCTACATTTTTAAAGATATGATAATGTTCAGGTATGTTCGTGCCTAGATTTGCAATCTAGGATTTATTCAATCTAGGATTTATTTCAGGACTTGGGCAGATCTCAGTGCCTCTGGCTTTCCATCTGAAAATAGCAGTAGTCAAGCGTGGCAAAAATACTAGCGAGAAATGAATACAAATTGCTAATGGGGCAACAGTGTGTTCTTGCCATCTGGCTCCTGGCTCTAAATGGTTTCCGCTGCAATGGGAAAAGATTTGTGTTCTGAAGTTACATAAAAAGGGAACTGATTCCCAAACCCAGATAACTGGCAGGTGCAAATGACCATCTCCCCTAAACTTTTCAGTTATTTTCTTCCTCTTTCCATTTCTCTTCTGTCTGTCTGTCTCTCCCTCTCTCCTTTTACGTGCCCTCTTCCTTTATTAAGAATTCTCCTACTTTCAGGTAGATAGTAGTCACAGAAAACTCACACATGTTCATAGACATTTGATGCATACTTTTGCTTCATTGTGATATACAAACATACTAAATATATCTACACACAAATTAAACTTTGTAGATAGGTCTACAGGATAGATGGGATAAAATATACACACAGATATAGTGATTATTAGTAGATATGATATAAAAATGTTGATGTAGTAAATTGCTGTGCCAAATATTTTAACAATTCTGAGTAGCATCCAGGGCATTGGGTAACATTTTTCCTGCTTTTATATCTTCCAACCAAGTTCATGATTCAAAAGCAAAAGCACAGTAAATGACAACAGCGTAAACATTATGGAATTCATAGGTGTGATGATTTCTTTACCAATATACAGATTTCCTAGAATTACTCATTGGAGCCACATTTTAAAAGTTATGCTAAGATACCTATACATTACATTTTATCATCCTAACATTATGAATACCGTATTTCCACCTCCCTGGCTTAAATAGTTATGCGGTGATGAAGTTTTAATTTACTCTAACTTGAGCTTACCTGAGGGAATGACACCAAGGACAATGAGCAGCAGGATGAAGGCTGGCAGCATCATGATGTCAGGCTAGGAAAGATAATTTCTTCCCTTATAACAATATAGCATTTCCATCAGAAAGGGAGGTTTTGAAAAGAAAATGCAGTAGTTCAAAATCCGAAGTGGAACCCGAGGGGGAGACACCTGAAGCGGGAATAAGATCGTCTCACACCATCTCACGTCAGAGCGATGGTTCTTAAACTACACTTCATTGATTTCCAGTGAGCTGTCAGAGCGTGTAAGTCTAAAACGTATCTCTGGGTCCTAACTCCTGACTTATTAATCTGCTCTCTCACAAGGAGATGCAGGACAAAAGGGAAAGGATAAGGCTGGACCACTTCTGAATGTTCTGTGGTATTTTGCTCACGGTTGGAGATCTAAGCAAAGGAGAAAAACTACGTTTTATCACATGTGTCGCGGAAGTTAGTGAGAAGTTTCTCATACATATTATTCCTCTATTGTCTCTTTATTTTGGACTTGGAGCTTAGGAATAATGACTATGAGGGGGTTAAGAGGTATAAAATTCCAGTTATAAGTCACAGGGAGGTAATGTACAGCATGGTGACTATAGTTTATAATACTATTGCATATTTGAGAGTTGCTAGAAGAGTAGATCTTAGAAGATCTCATCACAAGAAAAAAGATTCGTAACTATGTGTGCTGATGGATGGCAACTAGCCTTATTGTGACCACTTGCAATATGTCCAAATATTGACACCTGAAACTGATATAATGTTGGATGTCTATTATACCTCAATTGACAAAAAAGAATAATGAATATATCCTGTGCCTCTCATGACTAATGTGTTCTAATGTCAGAGGATCCTCTGACATTCCCTTGGGCCCACCAGATCCACCTTATCTTCTACAGGAGAGAGTGTGGTCGGAGCTTGGTCTGGTTGTTTCCCTAATGGGACTTGGAGGCTAATAATGCCACTCTTTCTTTGATTCACCTTCTTCACAGTAGATCAGATTTTCATCTAGTTCAGTGGTGTCCACACCCAGAGGACCCCTCATAAATTCAAATCTAATGAATGGACAACTGTAAGTTAGGGCTGGATACAGGAGAGGGCCAGGTGGGAGCAGGTATCTGGATGGGGACCAGGTGATGGAGTCCCAGGCTCCAGGGCACTGAGGAACTCCACTTGGGCAATACCGAGTCCATCTTTGGCCCTCCATCTTGTTTTTGCCTCTGGGAACAGGGGGCAACATGTTAGATAACTAGTAAAGAGCCCTTCTGGGCACAGCTGACACCGTCTTAGGTAACTAGTAGAGGGTCCCTCTGGGGCACAGCTGGAGCTATATTAGATAACTATTAGCCCCTGTGGCGGGCTGGTCTGCCACCTTAGATAACTACCCTGTGGCCACACCACCGTGCCCCTCACTCCATAAAATCTGGGGATTAAGGTCTGGATGGCTGCACAGAATAGGAGTGGAGATAGCTTCGTAGTGCCCTGGATGGTTGGTCCATTCGCTCTCCTGATTGCCCTTGCCAGTAAGCTACACTGAAGAAAAAACTGTGCAAACGGTATGGCGTGGCTTGCTTCAGTTTTCAGTACGAAAGTGCCTCTCAGTCTGTAGGATACATTACTGACCGTCCTCCACTTTCTAACACTGATTTCATCCAATTAAAAATTTTCTTGATGTTCTCTTACTAAGCCCCCACTATGTGCCATTAGCAATTATCAAACCCCAGGCCATGCTCAGTAATATGTAATCAAAATGGCCCTGGCTGAGGAGGTAGGACTCTGCTCCTCTTTGAGAACCCCTGAGGACGAGGCTCTGTTCTTTTGTTCCTGTATCTCCACTTTCTCTCCAGTGCCTATCACGGGAAATGCTTGAGAGTGTTGCTTGGAAGAAAGGAGGAAGAAGGAAGCAATCAGACATTGATTTCCTTTGCATCTGATTTCCTATGCATTGTGTTCCAGGTCTGCTGTGAATTTACAACTGTCTCAGGTGTAAATTAGCCACTAACCCAGAGGTGCAGGAAGTGTCACCTTTCTTTATTTCAATGAATCAAATAAAATGAAGCTTGCCCTTCCACTGAGCAGGCAGAAAAAATCAGTCTCAGTCATTACAGGAGCTCCCTCCTCTCATCTAGGGTAGCGAAAGAAATGGGAAGGCTTATGTGGTCCCCAAAATACAGGGCGGGCCCTACAGACTCTAGTCATCTGGACCACGGCAGGTGGGTAGGTAGCCGGCCTACATGGTCCTCTGGAAGTGGCAGTTGTGCCCCCCTCGGCTCGGTTCTGCCAGAACTGGAGGTCTGGGTGATAGAACGCCCCCTTTCTGAGCCTCCACACGGCCACTGCCACGTGAGGACGCCGCCTCCGTCGGTGCCACCATGGCAGCGTGGTCCTGGCTGCTGCAGGGATAGCCAGCCTCTGGCCCCTTCTGCAGTTTTTTGCAAAGTTCTCACCCTTCTCCCCTACAGCTTCCCCTGTACTCATCTTGTCTCCCTCCCACTCTAGAAACCTCAAATAATCTTCTCAGTGAGTTTAGACTTTTAGTGAAAGCAGACATCAAATAAACAGGAAGAGAAGTTGTCTGTATGCAGCTTCTGCTGTGAGTCCCTGGAAACATAAGGAGCCCTGGAAAATATAGAAAATAAACACACAAAAAACAAAACACAAATCCTTATCTCAAAAAATCATCCCATTTTGAACATGTGTGCATGTTCCCTCACCTGTCCTATAACCAGCAATAAACATGAGCTGACAGCTGCCTGGGCTTTGGTGTTGGGTCTATCAAATCAGAAATAATCAGAGGTCTGGGATGCCTGGGTGGCTCAGTCAGGTAAGCGTCTGACTCTAGGTTTCAACTTAGGTCATGAGTTCACGATTCGTGAGTTCAAGCCCCACATCAGACTCTGCACTGACGGTGTGGAGCCTGCTTGGGATTCTCTCTGTCCCTCTCTCTCTGTCCTTCCCCTGCTTGTGCTCTCTCACTCAAAATAAATAAATAACTTCAGAAAAATTACTTAAAAAAAAAAAAGAAATAATCAGAGGTCTCCATTATCAACAGAGGACAAGTTTACATTCTAGGACCCCAAGCAAAACCTCTGCTCCTCCATCACTGACCCAATGTGCAACCTGTGAAGAGTAAGCTGGCTCATTGTGAGGCTCTGGAATGCTCTCCAGACCACTTCCATAGGACATGTACACACGGCAGTCACAAAAACAAAACTAAAGGTGAGAGAAAGCAGATTGCTTTCAACTGAAGATTTGAAAAGTTACAATCAGTATTTATTTATTTATTTATTTAGATTTTTTTTTTTAAAGATTGTATTTCTTTAGAGGCATCTGGGTGGCTCAGATGGTTAAGCATCAGACTTCAGCTCAGGTCATGATCTCACAGTTCGTGAGTTCAAGCCCCGTGTCTGGCTCTGTGCTGACGGCTCAGGGTCTGAAGCCTGCTTCAGATTCTGTGTCTCCCTCTCTTTCTGTTCCTTCCCTGCTCATGCTCTCTCTCTCTCTCTCTCTCTCAAAAATAAACATTATTTAAAAATTTAAAAATAAAATATATTTAAAAAATTTTTATTTAAGTAATCTCTACAACTTGCAACCTTGAGATCAAGCGTTGCATCATGCTCTACCAACTGAGCCAGCCAAGCACCACTGATCAGCATTTTTAAAAGTTTATTTATTTATTTATTTATTTATTATTTATTTATTGAGAGAGAGAGAGAGAGAGAATTCTTTGGGTTTGAAACGTATTAACTCAAAAGGCCTGGAGAGAGAGCACTTTAATACAAAAGGGTTGACTGCTTTCCTTCCACTGCACTCTTGTGTGTGACATCCTCCCAATAGGCATCGCTCTCAGAGATTTGAAGTTCATGTCTTTTAAATACATGTTAAATTATTTCCTGAGATCCAGCCTTGAGCCAAGGGGCTCCTGGAAAGGCTTTGCATTTCTCCAGCATTGGTGTTAGCGAATAGGACCCAGAGAAAGGACTTGCAACGATGGACATGCGGTACAGGACTTGGGGGCCCCCTGGTGGACTGTAGATCATACTGCAGTCTTAGGTCAACAGTCTCCGTTTTTAAAGGTTGTACGCTTTAGCTGCTATTCGTTCCTTAAATTTTAAATTAAAAAAAAATAAACTAAAACAAACACAGGCTGCCCAAATCCAAAACTACGCATCAGAAGGCAATGGGTGTTGGTCTAACAGCTCCACGCATCCTCAGACAGCTCCCAGCAAGTTGGGGCAAGCCCCCTGCAGTAGCCGCAGACTCCAGGCCTGGAAGGAGTTGATGCCCGCCACTGCGCGGGAACCAGGCTTGGGAAAGCTGGGAGCGCCCACCGCCGGGAACGTTGGCGGTCACTGTGGGAAGGACGGCTTGCATGGAGAAACCACCGCTACGCTTACCACACACGTCAGGGGTTTCCAAATCGGTCTGTGCTTTCCCAATCATTTGGGGGAACTTCTGAGAAACACACATTCCTGGATGCTTTCCCCAGGAATTCTGGATCCGTGGGTCTAGAATGCGGCCCACATGGTTTTGAAGAGAAGCCAGGTTTACTGCCACAGACCACGGACTGGCATTGTCCTCCAAGTTAAGCTGCCACAAGGACCGGGAGGAAACACTTGATGACAGTGGGACAAACCACAAGAAACCATCAGGCAGGGAGGAGGGCGGGGGGTGGGGGCAGCTCCAGGGGACCCCAGGGTCTCGCATCCTCAGGAGGACTGCCACCTGTAGGGAGGGAGGGGGACTGCTCCTGTTCTGTTGCAAAAGAGGATTAAAGAAGACAGTATGGGCGACACAAACTTCCACACTTTACCAAGTGGTCAGAACAAAAGGCAGGAAGTCTTTACAGGGTAAAGAAAGAAGACCAAGGAGGAGACAAAAGGAAATATCTTATTTGGGGTAAGGGGGCGGGCAGGGCTGACTGGGGTCAAGCAGAGGATTTGCAGGGACCCCAAAGTCATCTGGGTCTCCTCTTGCTGCTGTGGCTCCCTGGCGGGAGCGGCTCCATCTTGAACCTAGAAATTTACTTCAACACTTGTAATTTCATTCTCCACTCGTTCCTTTTCTGAGACTTTACTGTGTCCTGTTGGCAAGATGCCTTTTTCCTTCACCATAGTCATGTCACCACCACCTTTTTTTCACCACTTTTTCCTGGTCAGGGGAACCGTCCAGCCGTTCCTGGTCAGACTGGCCAGGCCTGAGGTTTGGGTTTCTGACCCTAACCTTTGCGAGGCATTTTATTTCATCCTGGACTCATCTTCAGCAGGGGCGCTGGTT